GTGTCTAGGGCGCGGCGTCTGAATAAATCGCGAAGTCGCACGCGAGAGCGCGATTCCTGCATACATTGCGAGGGAATCCCGCGCGAGAGCGCGACTTAAACATACGTTGTGAGGAAATATCCGGCAACGCCATAGTTTGAGCACAGAGATTCTCCTGGATGGAAACGGGGTGCGGGCCGCGAGGGTGGCACTCCAATCGAAAAAAACACAGAACGTGTACCGGCGGGGGGAGATCAACAACCAAGATTGTTCAAGAGTGAGAACTCAGCAACAGCAGCATCAACAACAACAGTAACAAGGACAACACGTATGTTGATATTGTTCGCTCTCAGATTCTCACGTATCACCCAGCATGTATATCCCGAGTCTCCGATGCCCACCCTCTTCGTCTCTGATCGTGCCCCCTTTGTGGGTATATCTTCGTTTCCTGTCACGTGTAACTGGCGCGGTCCATAAATCAGGGGGAATGAGCGAGGAGGGGCGGGACAAAGGGGGAGGACAAGCGAAGGAACACGAGCGAGATTATCAGGAGAGGGGGCTAAGACGACAAACGCAAAACAGGACGTGCGGGTCGGGCGGGCAGACCCGAACAGGCGGGTCGGGCGGGCGGGCTTAGACGGACGGGTCGAGCGGACGGGTTGCTGAAGCGTGACTCCTGAATGAATCGCGAGGAAGTCTCAAGCAATAGTGCGTTTTCCAAGTGAATCGTGTGGAAATCCAAAGCGAGAGCGTGATTCCTGAGTGTCGAAGGCGCGGATTCTAATGTGTAGGAAGTCCAACGGAGAACGCGAATACTGGATGATGTGTGGGAACGTCCCGCGCGAAAGCCGTTGTGGTAGTTCGGGGGGCACAGGGCAAATCAGAGTCTGACGACCTTTTTCTTGGACGAGCACAGGGTGCGAGCCCTGGGAAAAGGGGCCCTTCAATTGAATATCACAACGGGCGCCTCGCAGGGGGGATTAACAATGATATTTGCTAGAAATGACAGTTCAACAGCACGAACAATCAGTTTAATACTGTTTGCTCTTATCGGCTCGCGTGTTCTTCAACAAAATATACCCCGAACCCTCGATCCCCGCCGTCCTCGTCTTCGATCGTGCCCCCTTTGGGGGTATATCTTCCTTGCCTGCCACTGTAGTTGGCGCAATCCCTAAAACAGGGGAGAGGAGGGAGGAGGGAAGGACAAGGAGGATAAATAATCATGGAACACGAGAGAGAATAGCAAGAGGGGGGTTGGGAACAAGAGAACACGCGGCAGAACCAGACGGGCGGATCGGCATGGCGGACCCTAACGGGCGGGTCGGGCGGGTGGGACCACACAGCCAGGTTGAGCGGGCGTGCCGCTGAAGCATCAATCCTGCATGGACCGCGACGAAATCTCGAGCGAGAACGAGATTCCCAAAGAAGTTCCACAGCGAAAGCACGATCCTTGAATATCGAAGACGTCAGAATGCGTTGTTGGCGCCCGAACTACCGCAACAACGGCCCCCGCCCGATACATGATCCTTACAGTCTAATCAAAATCGCGCTGTCGCGCGGGACTGCCTCACACTTTATGCAATAATCGCGCGCTCGCAATTCATGCAATACTGATGTTTCAACGACCCACTCGCTCGACCCGGCCGTCTGGGCCCGCCTGCCCGACCCGCCCGATAAGGTCCGCCCGCCCGACACGCCCGTCAAATTCAGCCGGTTGTTTCTCTGCTCCTAGCCTCCCTCCTGCTATTCTCTCTTGTGCTCCATCCTCCTCCCTCCCCCTTGTCCCTTCCCTCCTCACCCCTTCCGCTGTTTTACGGGCTGCGCTAACTACACGCTGCAGGTAAGGAAGATACACCCCCAACCCGGTACGAGCGAAGACGAAGAGCGCGGGTATCGAAGGGATGGAACACACACGCACACACATTATATATATACACATATAGGTATGTATGTATGAATATATATATAGAGTTATGTAGATATACAAGTATATACTTATAACGCATGGACGCAGGTATGCATGCATGTATGTATGCATGTATGTAGGTATCAACACACTCACATATTTGTTTATGTACATATAGCCACACACATCGATTGACTGACGCGCGGGTAATTAAGAAACGAACAGTACTAAACATATTGTTGGTGTTGTTGGGATTTCATCTCGAAAGAAAAATCGTTCATGATTCTCCCCTGGTAACACATATGTTTTCTTAATTCCCCTCGCGGGGCACGCACCTGGCTTTGTACAAGGAGAAACCTTGAGCGTCAAATTGGGCCCCCGGCCCCCGAACTAGAACAAGAACCGCTCTGGGCTGATACATCCTCACACAAAGTATCGGAGATTCGCGCTCTCACTCGAGACTTCCATGCGATGGATCCAGGACTCGCGCTCTCGCATGAGACTTGCTGACGCTTTATGAGCGAATCGGTCTCTCGGCGCTCTGAAATCGTGCTCTCGCTGAAGACTTCCTCGTCGTTTACTCAGGAGCCGGACTCTCGCCTGAGACTTCCTTGCCGTTCCCTCTTCTAAGTCCTCTTGCTGATCCCTCTCGTCCACCTTCTGTCGTTTCCTCTTGCCCCCGTTCCTCCTCCTTTCCTTCCCCACTCCCTTCCTCCTCGCTCTCTCTCTCTCTTGCATTATTTTTGTTCTTCCTGTTTCAGGGGCTGCGCCAATTACGCGTGGCAGGGACGGAGTGTATCCCCCTAAAAAGGGCACGATCGAAGACGAAGAGGGCGGGTATCGATGGCTTGGGGTATACATGTTTGTTGAAACGTGAAAATAAGCGAACAATCAAATATTGACGGTGGTTAAACTGTCACGTCGAAAAATAAATATTGTTGACCCCGCCTTTCGTGCACCTGGTGTTTTTTTCCACATGGAATGCCCCGCCTAAGGATCGCACCCTGGCTTTTTTTACAAAAGAAGGTCTTGCGGCTTCGACTGCGTTGTTGGCGCCCGAACTACCGCAATAACGGCTTCCGCCCGATACTTCCTTACAGTATACTCAAAATCGCGCCCTCGCGCGGGACCGCCTCACAATTTATGCAAGAATCGCGCTCTCGCGTTGGACTTCCTTCCAATTCATAAAGACATCGCGCCCTCGGCACTCAGGAATCACGCTCCCGCTCTGGACTTCCTCACGATTTACTTGGGAATCGCGCTGTCGCTGAAGACTTCCTCGCGGTTCATGCAAGACGCACGCTTCAGCGACTGGCCCGCTCGATCTGACCTGTTGAGCCCGCCCGCTTGACCTCTACCCGCCCGATCTGCCCGTCTGGTTCTGCCAGGTGTTTTCTGCTCGTGCCCCCCTCCTGCTATTCCCTCTCGTGCTCCATCCTCCTCCCTCCCCCATGTCCCTTCCTTCCATCTGTCCTCTTTTCCTTTGCCCTAGGGGTTGCATGAGATACGCGTTGCAGGTAAGAAAGATAGATACCTCTAAAGAGGGTACGATCGAAGACGAAGAGGGCTGGTATCGAGGGTCTGGGGTTTACGTGGTGGATGGCACGCGAGCAGACCAGAGCGAAACATCTGACAACGACTGTTGTTGGTGTTGGTGTTGGTGTTGGTGTTGTTGCTGTTGTTGCTGTTGTTGTGATGTTCTTATTAATGCTGCTCTGTTGTTGTTGTTGCTGCTGTTGTTGTTGTTGTTGTTGTTGTTGTTGTTGTTGTTATCGAAGTCTCATTCCCAACTAATAATTATTGTTGATCGCCCCCTGCTCAACAACCATTATATTTTTCAAAGCGATGTTTCTCCCGGGGCTCGCACCCGTTTTTTTGGTACAAGGGAGAACGAGGAGTCACCAAACTTCGCTCCTGGCTCCCGGTTTAAAGCAACAGCGGCTCCCGCCTGATACTTCCTCGCAATGTATTCCCAAGTCGCGCTCTCGCACGGGACTGCCTCAAAATGTGTGCAGGAATCGCGCTCCCGCGTGGGACTTCGTTGCGATTTATTCAGACGCCGCGCCCTCGGCACTCAGGAACCACGATCTCCCCTTGGACTTTCTCACGGTTTACTTGGGAATCGCGCTATCGCTCGAGACTTCCTTCCTCGCGGTTCATGCAAGACGCACGCTTCAACAAACCAGTGGCTCGACCTGGCCGTCTGGGCCCGCCTCCCCGACCCGCCCGTTAGGGTCTATCCGCCCGATCTGCCTGTCTGGTTCTGCCAAGTGTTTTCTGCTATTTTCTCTCGTGCTCCATCCTCCTCCCTCCCCCTTGTCCCTTCCTTCTGTCCGTCCTCTCTTCCTTTGCCCTAAGGGCTGCACGAGATACACGCTGCAGGCAAGAAAGGTAGATACCCTGAAGGGGGTACGATCGTAAACGAAGAGGGCGGGTATCGAGGGCTTGGGATATACGTGACGACTTGCACGTGACCAGACAAGAGCGAACAATATTAAACTGATTGTTGTTGTTGTGCTTTGAATTCTGAAGAAAGTACGTAGCGTTGCCCCGCTCCCCTCCGATCGCATACAAGTTTTTCGATTGAAATGCTTCCCCTGGGGCTCGCACGTGGTGCTTTACAAAGGAAACCATTGGTCCTCAGACTGTGCTAGTGGCCCTGGTTCGCAGCACTCACGTCTCCAGCCTGATATTCAACCTGAAAACAGTCGTGCGCTGCCCTGCATTTCAAATCCGCCCCTCCTATTCTTTGGTGTGCGCAATCAGCCGTGCAACTTCTGAATTCAGGTCCTGGCGACATGACTTTGAAGGCTGCAGCGTAGGAGTGCCACGGTGCTTCTGCCTACTTGTTATAACGTCATCCCACCATCCTACCTTGATGCTGTCTTAATCTCGCAGCATTTACCCTGACATTCAAGGACACCAGCAGTCTCTGCCGCACACCGATTCTGGCGCATAGAGAAAGGGAAAGATAGGGAAAGAGAGAGAGAGAGAGAGAGAGTGGGAGACGCAACAAACCACTTGATCAGGGAGGGGGACAATGAACAAATAATTCTGCAGAAACAGCTCAAAAGGCTGGGCCCATGTATGCTCGCTGGCCGGCTGAGTCCTGGGCGAGATCAGCTTGCCACCGCTGCCCTTGCCCTTGGACTTGCCTTCCCTGTCCCAACCTACCACTTTACGGAAGCATGATGCTACGAGGGGAGCTGGATCACGATCAAGACATGCAAAATGGCGATCTGGAACATACAACCGAAACTACGATAACAAACACTATCGTTTAACACATCTGGGCCAGCTTCCCGGAAGTTTCTTTCGTTGACGCTGGAGGGGCGAGCGTGCTCAATAAACGGGGCAGGCTTCCTGGCTAGTTGGTGGAGAAGCGGTGGCCCAGCTTTTCGGGAGGTTTCTTAATCGGATGCTCGACTGTAATGAGGGAACCTGGATGGAGATCAGAGCATGCAAGACGATCTGGAACATGTGTACGAACTTTATACTTCTACGTGTTCCTTTGACCCTGTCTGTCCGCGCCCTGGTGCAGCAAGCGGTACGCAAGCGATCATTCGAGCGTGTATATAAAGTACAGATGACATGCGATCAGGACATGGATGAAGATGCCTGGCAACCAAAACGAATCGTGAGAGGAAGAGGGGTAGCTGCCGTCAGTTGGCGAAAGTTTCGTCGACAACGCAGCGATGATACCCCCCAGTTGAGCTAAATGACACCTCCTGCGCACAGGCGCCACCTTGCGGAGAAAAGTAAGGGGGGAGAAGGCTCAGGAGCGGGAAACCTCGATCTGGAATCGCGACGAATGGCCGATAGATCGGCGATAGGTCCTTGATAGCGACAAAGCATGTTTCTTGGCACCTCTCCCTCCCTACGTCGCCCCTGACACCTGGAATGCGGTGTTGCTTCGGGGGGCCTGGCCGCGGAACAGGCGCGTGAGCGGTCGACGGTCCCCCCCGCAAGCCTGCGGCGCGGGTGCCCCGCTTCCCAACCTTCGCGCATGAGGGTCACGCTCCGAGGGAGTGAATCATCCCGAGGCAGAACGTCTGGAGGCAACGTGGCGCGCGCCCATGACGATCGCACTACGAGTGGGCTGCAGCAGATACGTACGATCAGAGATCCTGCTATAAGCAACCTGGGGGCATGTTTGCCGACGATCCCTGAGCTTCCTGACGTGCCCCAGCGCTTCCGCGGGTCCCAAGGGCCAGCGGGGTATCATACATTTCCGTGGGGCACCTGCTTGCAAGCGGGTGCTTGACTTGATGCACCTACTGTACACCGCTCACGAGCGCCATCCCGGGCGTTCCAGCGTCCCCGCCAGAAGTTGGCGGCGCACAGGGGGCGGGGGTAGGGGGAGGGGGAAGGCTTCTTAGAAGGAGGCTGCTTCTTAGAAGGTGCCGGCCTTACATCTACAGACAAGGCCCGCGCCTTCTAAGAAGCAGGGGTGTTTCTAAGAAGCCTTCTTCCCTCCCCCTAACCCCCCTCTGCGCGCCGCCAAAGAAGGTCGGCCCATCGCAAAAGTGGCCTTGGGCAGAGACGACCTTTGATGCGCTGCTTGCCGGCCCATCCTGCGTGCTGGGGTTCGGCCTCTTCCGCTCTCCCCGGCTAAGAGGCGACCACCCTGCGAGGTGCTTCGAGTCGGCGTTGTGACCCCCCCTCGGCGGCCTCTCGGGGGCACTTTTTCTTCCTTCCTCGCCTTCCGCCAGTGGAGGGCGCTCCCAAAAACCTCTCCGCAAGCCCCAAGAAATTTCTCAGGAGGCTCATGGAAACTTCTCTGAAGCCTTCCCTCCTACACCTCGGCTCTGGGCTGCTCTGTTTTGCGTTGTCATGCACAGCTCTGAGTTTATCGTGCAAGCGGCAGGACTATTTGTACGACGTTTTCTGGTTATGTATATACACAGACACACTTATATACATAAACATACATACATGTATACATATCTATGGATGCATGTCGAAATGTTCTGTATATATCGGCAATTGAGGGTGAGATCGGAGTGGAACGGGGAGTCCCCCACCGGGAAATCGGTTTCGGTTTCGGGATCGTGTCGTGTGTGCTGGCGAGGCGAAAATGCGTGGGCGGGCGAGAGGAATGACTCCGCTGTGGCTAGTCTTGGTCAGAGCCGTTCACCCGTCGTCAGTCAGGTGGTGGCCTGGGCGTCCCGCCGTGCCCAATGTCCCGTCGCTGTCCCGTCGGTGTCCCGTCGCGGTGGGCGGGCGGTGGCCGGGTTGTCCTGCCATGGTGTCCCGTCGATGTTCCGTTGGTGTCCCGTGGTGTCCCGTGGTGTCCCGTCGGTGGTCCGTGGGTGTCCCGTCGGTGTCCTGTCGGTGTCCCGTGGTGAGGTCGATAGTGAGATCGGTAGTGACATCGATCGTGAGATCAAAAGTGAGATCGATTGGTGTCTGGATGGTGTCCCGTGGTGTCCTGTCGGTGTCCCGTCGGTGTCCCGTCGGTGTCCCGCGGTTGTCCCGTCGGTGTCCTGTGGTGTCTTGGTGAGATCGATGGTGAGATCGGTAGTGAGACCGACAGTGAGATCGATAGTGGGAGTGGTGCTCCGATGGTGTCCCGATTGGTGTCCCGATGGGTGTCCTGATGGTGTCCTGGTGGTGTTTCGATGGTGTCTCGATGGTGTCCTGGCGGTGTCCATAGGGAGTCTTAGGGGAGGTCGCAGAGAACCCGATATGCCAAACTGTTTTCAATGTCAGCACCACCAGCCACGAGATCGCTTGCGTCCCGTGAGGGCCCCGGGGCTAAATAAATGCCACCACCCGTTCACTTGTGGCCGCGAGCGTACCGATGCCAAATCAATGTCACCACGAGCGCGGGTATGAGGAAACCCCAATTCGACGCTTCGGGCAAAATCGATAGTGAGATCGGTAGTAAGATCGAGTGGGTTCGATGGTGGTACGGGTAGTCACTGCGATGGAGTGAAATCGATAGTGATATCCCGATTGGACCACCCCACGGGTGATAAGGAGATTGGAGGGAAGGGGGAGGCGGTCGATGTGCGATGACCCCCACCTGCCGCCACCAAAAAGTGCGCGGGCACAAAAGTACCACATACTTCCGCTTGCTTCTATCTAACTAGTATATATATATATCCCTTTCAATGTTTATATATATCCTTCAATCTATCTATCTGTCTACCGAATCGACACATCAATCAATCGACCTATATACCAACCAATGAACCTATCTATCGAATCGATCCATCAAACAATATATCTATCTACCTACCTATCGGGGCAACCATCGGGGCAACCTTCCGCTCATATCCCCCAGTCTCCGATCTATCTATATACATATCTACTTATCTGTCTATTTATGTACCTATACACCTACCTACCTATCTATATATGATCTGTATAGACACACATCTATATACATAGATATATCCATCTATCTACCTCTCTATCTATCTATGTATCCATACCGGCGGTGTGTTGCTGATGGCGAGGCGGTGGCAGTGGCGGTGGCGGTGGCGGGCAGGCTATTCTATCTCTCTATCGTTATATATATATATGTCTATCGGTCTATCTATCTGTCTATCTGTCTATCTATCTGTCTATCTATCGGTCTATCTGTCTATCTATCGGTCTATCGTCTATCTATCTATCTATCCATCGACCTCTCTATCGGGTCAACCGTCGGGACAACCATCAGGACAACCGTCGGGACAACAATCGGGACAAACATCGGGACAGCAATCGGGGCAACCATCGGGACAGTCATCGGGACTACCATCGGGACAACAATCGGGACAAACATCGGGACAGCCATCGGGACAACCATCGGGGCAACCATCGGGACCAACATCGGGACAACCATCGGAACAACCATCGAGACAACCATCGGGACAACAATCAGAATAACCATCGGGACAACCATCGTGACAACCATCGGCACAACCATCGGGACAACCACTATCCATCGGGACAACCATCGGGACAACCATCGGGACAACCACGGGACAACCGCGGGACAACCACGGGACAACCACGGGACAACCGCGGGACAACTACGAGACAACCGCGGGACAACCACGGGACATGCGCCCGTCCTGGGGGGGGCGGCCCTTTGGGCTCCATGTGGCCTCTACCAGTTCAGGAACTCGCGCAGCTTCGCCTCGCCCGCACGCACGACACGAACCGAAACCGAAACTGATTTCCCGGTTGGGGCCACTTCTGTTCACACCCCCCAACCTCCGACTGATAGTGAGATCGATTGTATGACCGACTGGTAGTGAGATGACCGATAGTGAGATACGCCAAATGCCCTGTCGGTGTCCCGTCGGTGTCAGCAAGCAACCATCACAGCTGGTGTCCCGATGGTGTCCCGACCGTACCCAACACCGCTTATTGTGAGAACGATCGTGGGGTCAATAGTTGGATCCATCGACAGTGGGATTGGCCGTGAGATCGATAGTACGATCGATCGATGGTGAGGCCGATCGAGTGGGGTCGATACTGGGGTCCCATCGCGACGCAGCATCGTCACCACGCGTCGTCGCCAACTCGAGGGCGCACCACCAGCATTGCCATCATCGCAACCATCACAGCTGTCGTCAGTTGGTTTTCCTCCCCAAACCTCCTGACCACCCGAAGGATGGTCGTATAGGTGTGTATATATACACACTAGAACCACGCGCGCGCTTCGCGCGCTTAGGTTAGGTTCTAGTCAGGGCTGATTCAGGGCTGCCCGCCACCACGGTGAATTCCAATACGCTGTATCTCTGACGAGCTCGGTCGGGAACGCGGAATCATCATACACTGCTTCCGTCGCCAGCATGGGTCTCAACCGCGCAGCTTCGCGCTTGCTTAGGTTTTCCGCAAACGTTCCCGACTGCAAACTCGATCTTGGACGACGCGGCGACGACGACGGCAGCCGCTGGAAAATTCGGAGGCGCGTCACGGCGGATCTCGAGGGACGCCCTCCACAGCCGTCTGGGGCACCGTCTCGGCGCCCGCTTGGGGGCCTTTGAGGCCGTCTTGGGGCGATGCTCGCTGCTTCCTGGGCCGTCTTGCAGCGTCTCCAAGCCGAAAGCGTAAGAACTCCCAAATCCTTCAAAACTGAAAGGGCAAATCCATCACCTGTGCTTTTTGGGCGCCTCTTGGGGGCGTCTTGGAGCGTCTTGGAAGCCTTCTGGGCCTTTTGGAAGCCATCGTTCGCGTTTTGGAGCGGAATTTCGGCGATTCTCTGCCCTCAAGGGACGTTTTGCGGCCCCTTGGAACCCTGGCGTCCGAATTTTGAGGCTGTCTTGGGCCGTCTGGGGGCGTCCCCGGAAGCCCGGGACGCCCATAGAGGGTCTTTTCGGTCGTCTCGGCGGCCGCTTGGGGGCCTCTGAGGCCGTCCTGGGGCGATACTTGGGGCGTCTACGACCGTGTTGGAGCGTCGTGAAGCCGACAATGGAGAAACGCTGAAATCCGTCAAAAACCTCAGGATAATCAATTCATGTTGCCTCCTGGGGCCCTCTTGGGAGGCCTCTTGGAGCGTCTTGGGGCGTGTTGGAGGCCCCGTGGGCCGTCCGGAAGCCATCGTGGGCGTCTTGGAGCGGGACGTCCGGGATTCTCGGCCCTCTTGGAGCCTTTTGGGGCCTCTTGGGACCCTGGTGTCTTGTTTTGGTGGCTGTCTTGGGCCGTCTGGGGGCGTACCCGGAGGCCCCGGACGCTCATAAAGCGTCTGTTTCAGCCGTTTCGGCGGCCGCTTGGGCGCTTCTGAGGCCGTGTTGGGGCGATACTTGGGGCGTCGAGGACCGTGTTGGAGCGTCTGGAAGCTGAAAATGCAGAAACGCTTCAATCCGTCCCTAACCGTAAGACAATGTATGAATTTTGCCTCCTGGGGTCCTCTTGGGAGGCCTCTTGGGGGCCTCTTGGAGCGTCTTGGAGCCCTCTTGGGGCGTCTCGAAGCCATCGTGGGAGGCCTCTTGGAATTTTCTTGGGGCGTGTTGGAGGTTCCTTGGGCCGTCTGGAAGCCATCGTGGTCGTCTTGGAACGGGATTTCGGCGATTCTCGTCCCTCTTGGAGCGTTTTGGGGCCTCTTGGAACCCTGGTGTTCTGTTTTGGTGGCTATCTTGGGCCGTCTGGGGGCGTCCCCGGGAGCCTGGGATCGCCACAGAGCGCCTTCGTCGGCTGTCTTGGCGCCCGCTTAAGGACCTCTGAGGCCGTGCTGGGGCGATACTTCGGGCGTCTACGACCGTGTTGGGGCGTCTGCAAGCTGAAAATGCAGAAACGCTAGAATCAGGCCCACCCCCCAGGAAAATCATGGAATGTTGCCTCTCGGGGCCCTCTTGGGAGGCCTCTTGGAGGCGTCTTGGGGCGTGTTGGAAGTTCCTTGGGCCGTCCGGAAACCCTCGTGGGCGTCTTGGAGCCGGATTTCGGCGACTCTCGGCCCTCTTGTAGCGTTTTGGAGCCTCTGGGAACCCTGGTGTTCTGTTTTGGGTACTGTCTTGGGCCGTCTGGGGGCGTCCCCGAAAGCCCGGGACGCCGCCCGCGTAGAGCGCCTTTGTCGGCTGTCTCGGCGCCTGCTCGGGGGCCTCTGAGGCCGTGCCGGGGCGATACTTGGGGCGTCTAGGACTGTATTTGGGCGTCTGGAAGCCGAAAATACAGAAACGCTACAATCAGGCCCAACCCCCAGGAAAATCATGGAATGTTGCCTCTTGGGGCCCTCTTGGGAGGCCTCTTGGAGGCGTCTTGGGGCGTGTTGGAAGTTCCTTAGGCCGTCTGGAAACCATCGTGGGCGTCTTGGAAAGGACGGGATATCGACGATTCTCGGCCCTCTTGGAGCGTTTTGGCGCCTCTGGGAACCCTGGTGTTCTGCTTTGGGGGTTGTTTTGGGCCGTCTGGGGGCGTCCCTGGAGCCCCTGTCCCCCCATGCTTCGCGGTGGTCTCTGGGCCCAGCCAGGAGGCCCCGTCCCTTTGTGTGTATATATATATATATATGTATACATGGATATCTATAATGTACGGTCCAATTTTGGACAGAAGAGGATGGTAATTCCAACCTCGCCGAAGACCCCTTTGCGATGACATGCACACCTTGGATTCACAATTTTGGGAGGTGTCTCGATCAGTATGCCAGAACATCCTTCCGGCAGGGTTCTCATCTCGCTCAAAGCCCCCTTGAGGAACTTTCTGAGACGAGCATATCGGCCGCTGCGGGAAAAGGCTCCACAGCTGGAGGGGCGCTCATACGCAAAGGATCGTTAATCGCCCCAGGACGTTGATCCTGGAAACCCGATGTGCCTGAAGAACAATCGAAAAACTGGAAATCCGATGTGCCTGAAAAAGCCAGCGAAAAACGGTACAATGTAAACTGTCTCGCCGTCGAGGGCGCCCATCCCAAGAAGGTTGGAAACATGATACATCGACGTGCCACAGCAAGCTTTCCAGCCGTGAAGGGACGGTTGTCGCTGACTGCGGAAGCCCGTTTTCCCAAACATCCTCCGACGTGCTCTTTCAACTCCGCGGCCCCGAAGCTCCCGACCCCTTCCCCAGGGGCAGTCTTGCACCACGGACATCTCTGTGGCGGTCTGCGGGGCTCGTCATCCAAGGAAATTCCCCTGGATTGAACAAAAACACCGCCTGAGATCTAAGCTTGATGCCGTTTTTCGTCCGCGCACTGAAGCCTGAAGCCCATGGCGGCGGCACTCTGCAAGGCCGCAACCTGCCCCAGAGCAGCGCCGCTCCCGGAGCCCCAGGAGTGCTGGCACGCCCCCGAGGGATGCCCCCACGAAGGCCAGAAGGCAACCCAACAACGCGCCGCCCTCCTTTCTACTGAGGTTTTCCGGGATTCCTGACGTGCTCGCGTGGTGAACGCATTGGCGGCGCGCGCAACGGGGTGGCGCGAGGGGGGTGGTCTTCTGAGGGGGCGAAGGGGCTGATAAGCAGGCGAGGGCCTTCGTAGAAGGCCTTCGTAGGAGGCTTCGCAGAAACTGGGCGGGCTTCCAAGAAGCGACCCGCCTCCTTAGAAGCCCCCCGCATTCTTAGGAGGTCGCTCTCGTCGCGCCAGCCCCTTAGCGCGCGCCGCCAAGTTGCGAAACGAGCACGGCAAAGGGCATTTAGCAGACTTCGGAAACCCTGAACCCGAATTTGTTTTCATCTCTTGAGGGCACACCTTTTACTTCCGCCGCCTTCCGCGGAGCTTCCGCTGGCGGAGACGGCCTCGCTGTACTTCCGCCGACCTTCCGCCGCCCTTCCGCCGCCTTCCGCCGAGGACGAGATGACAGCTCCTTCGATCCTCGAAGGCGAGGCCCTCTTTGGAACGCCTCATTCGGCTCTTTTCGGCATCGTCTGTGGGGCCTCCCCGGGCCCCTGGGGCCGTCGAGAGGGCGGTCCTGGGAGGAGCCCAGGCGCCCAGGCCCCCATGGGGTCCGCGTTGCGAGCAGATCACGGCGTCGGAGGTCTCCGGGCTGAGCCGGAGCACAGCAGCCGTTCGAACCCTTCAGGCATCGGCGAAACAGCAGCGGCAGAACCATAAAACTGTGGAGCTCCGCGCGGATTTCTTGGATCGGCGCTGGGAGCCCCTCCCTGGCGCGCTCCGCGCGCCAGGGGCGGCGCCAGAGGCGCCGCCCGGGGGACCAGGCGCCGATCCAACAAATCCACACAGAGCTCGAACACAGTATGCTTATAATTTCTTGCGCCTTCGAAATATGATCTCGAAATTCCTGACCACCATCCCGTGATCCCATGTAGATTACGAAATTGTGGTCAGGCGTGTTCGGGTAGCTCGTAACTACGCAGTCAACCGCCATGGCGCTAACCACCAAGTCGTAAATTCCACTTTTTATCCGCACGCTCGCGCTGCGAAAAGCTGGCGGCCCCAGGAGTCCCCGTGCCCTCACAACAGAAGAGTGGCCCACGCCAAGATGAGTGAAGTGCCACCGATGGGGGCCAATCTGCCGTTGGCCCTGTCACCAGACAAGGCCGCGGCGTAGCAGGATCCGGAGAAGATCGCGATGCCCGCGCTGAAGAGCCCCAACGTCACCGAAGGGAGCCGCATGCTTGATGTGGCCCCCGAGCCCGCGAGCAGCGCCGCAGAGTGGATCATGTGCAGCTTGTTGCCGTTGGCGAACGCAACCTGCAGATCCTCGCGCTTCTCCTTCATCCCGTGCGCGCCGTAAGCCGCGGCACCCACCGACGTGGCGCCGCTGAGCCCAGCGGCCCTCAGCCAGAGCTTCGCGGAAGCCATGCTGGGCTCTCCCCGCTCCGGGAGTTCCCGGAGGAGAGGGCCGAGGACCCGCAGGGCCAGCTGGGCAGGGGCCTACGTGGATCCCCGAGTCTGAGGGCCTTGCGCCAAGACGGCCACGGGCGCCCCTCAACAACGCCGCCGAAGCTCCGAGGGGCCGCGCGGTCACGAGGATGGTGCTCGCGGCCGTGCAGAGCTGCCCGAGGGCAGAAGCATGGGAGCTCTTCGCTGTGCCACGCGCCCCACCCGAGGATTCCAATCCGCCCTCGCTGCGTGTGCGTATACGGTCGGGAACCTGCGCTGGGCGTGTCGCGGCGGCGGCTCTGGCGACAAGCTTCGCCCTGCCAGCGGACAACGCTTCGCTCCGCTCCGCGGGGCGGGAGGCTCGGAAAGGCTCCGGACGCTGACGCTCGGGGATAGAGCGTGTCGCGCGAAAGCGTGCTGGGCCAGAACCGGCGGCGCGACACGCTGAGCCAAAGTTTCTGACCGCACTTCGGTGGCAACTCCTGCGAGCCTCCCATGCCATCCGGCGGCGACGGGCGAGGGGGGGAAGTGAGAAGGAGAAGGCATTCTCAGAAGGCTCGGAAGCTCCCCATCCATACCCGCCAGTCGGAAGACGTATATGGAAGCATGACGCAGGAAGGCGGATGAAAGTCGATCGGGCTCGGGCCAACCGAAAGGATGACAAACAACCGCAACAACATAATACTATACCGATTCTTGAAATAGGAAGGCACTTGGAGTAAATTGGGAACTGGATAGCCAGAAATACCTATATCCAACGACTTGCGCACTGGCGCGTATCCCCCCCGAGCTCTGCGCACCCTGCCCCGCGGGCCCTTGGTCGCGGTGTCGCCTCCCATCTGCTGCTCGGGGCACGCGGGCGCGCCTGCGCGCAGAGGGGCAGAGACTCTGAGGGCAGGTGGAGGGGAAGGAGGAGGGAGAGAGGTGGATGTGCGGAAGAGATGAGGAGGAGGAGGATGAGGAGGAGGAGGAGGAGGAGGAGGAGGAGGAGGAGGAGGAGGAGCAGCAGAAGGAGGAGCAGGAGGAGAGGCAGGAGGACGAAAAGGATGAGGAGGGGGAGGAAAAGGAGGAGGAGGAGGGGGAGGAGGAAGAGGAGGACGTCTCGTCTACGTAAGGCCCGGGGCGGGCGGGAGGCCTCAGAAGAGAACCTGGATGATTACCAGTGAATGTCAGCAGCCCAGTGTACAACGTCCTTAATTATTCTTTGCCACTGTTGCGCGCCTCTTTCGCTTTTGAATGCTAGCTTCGCAAGCCCTGTGCTGCACTCTCCGCAAAGGGTCTTCAAACCGCATCCACGGGGATGTATGGACGAGAGAGGTGGAGAGCAGTAGCGCGCAGAGAATGAGGAATCTCGGATGCTGAAGGACACGACGAGCTTGACACCGTTGATGCTGACGGTGACGATGTGGGCAGTGCCGATGGTGACGATGTTGTCGATAAGGATGGCTATGTTGATGGGATGATGGTGGTGCATCTGAGGAGAATACGGAAAAGACAGACATCGTCGTCGTCGCGTCGTCGTCGTCTCCGTCGTCGACGTCGCCGCTCCTCCCTCTTCCGTTCGTCGTCGTCGTCGCCGTCGCCGTTGCCGTCGCTGCTCCCTCCTCAAGCGCGCCAGCCAAAGCGACATTGAGCAACGATGTAGTTGAGTCGAGTGGGAGCCCCTTCCCTTTGATCCCTTCCCCGCGAGGGCGGGGGTCCCGGGGGGGTGTCGAGGGGGGGGTCCCGAGGGTGGGGTCACGGCGAAAATCGGAGGCTGGGGGGTGGGAACGGAAGTGGTCCCAACCGGGACATCGGTTTCGGTTTCGGTTCGTGTCGTGCGTGCAGGCGAGGCGGAGCTGCGCGAGTTCCTGCACTTGTAGAGGCCACATGGAGCCCAAAAGGTCGCCCGCCCCCCCCCCCCCAGGCCAGGCGCGGCCTACGATGGTTGTCGCGATGGGTGTCCCGATGGCTGTCCAAATGGTTGTCCCGATGGGTGTCCCGATGGTTCCCCCGATGGCTGTCCCGATGGTTGTCCCGATGGTTGCTCCGATGGTTGTCCCGATGGCTGTCCCGACGGTTGTCCCGATGGTTGTCCCGATGGTTGTCCCGATGGTTGAGTCGATGGCTGTCCCGATGGTTCCGCCGATGGGTGTCCCGATGGGTGCCCCGATGGTTGTCCCGATGGTTGTCCCGATGGTTGTCCCGATGGTGTTGTCCCGATGGTTGTCCCGATGGCTGTCCCGATGGTTGTCCCGATGGTTGTCCCGATGGTTGTCCCGATGGTTGTCCCGATGGCTGTCCCGATGGTTGTCCCGGTGGTTTTCCCGATGATAGTCCCGATGGTTGAATCGATGGTTGTCCCGATGGTTGTCCCGATGGTTGTCCCGATGGTTGTCCCGATGGGTGTCCCGATGGTTGTCCCGGTGGTTGTCCCGATGGTTGCCCCGATGGTTGTCCCGATGGTTGTCCCGATGGGAGTCCCGGTGGTCGTCCCGATGGGTTGTCCCGACTCCCGATCCCGATTGTCCCGATGGTTGTCCCGATGGTTGTCCCGATGGTTGTCCCGATGTCCCGATGGTTGTCCCGACGGTTGTCCCGGTGGTTGTCCCGATGGTTGTCCCGATGGTTGAATCGATGGTTGCCGCGATGGTTGTCCCCCCCGATGGTTGTCCCGATGGTTGTTGTCCCGATGGTTGTCCCGATGGTTGTCCCGATGGTTGTCCCGACGGTTGTCCCGATGGTTGTCCCGATGGTTGTCCCGTTGGTTGTCCCGATGGTTGTCCCGGTGGTTGTCCCGATGGCTGTCCCGATGGTTCCCCCGATGGTTGTCCCGATGGTTCCCCCGATGGTTGTCCCGATGGTTGTCCCGATGGTGGTCCCGATGGTGTTGTCCCGATGGTGTCCCGATGGTTGCCCCGATGGGTGCCCCGATGGGTGTCCCGATGGTTGTCCCGATGGTTGTCCCGATGGTTGTCCCGACGATTGTCCCGATGGCTGTCCCGATGGTTGTCCCGATGGTTGAACCGATGGTTGTCCCGATGGTTGTCCCGATGGTTGTCCCGATTGCTGTCCCGATGGCTGTCCCGACGGTTGTCCCGATGGTTGTCCCGATGGTTGTCCCGATGGTTGAATCGATGGTTGCCCCGATGGTTCCCCCGATGGTTGTCCCGATTGCTGTCCTGATGGTTGTCCCGATGGTTGCCCCGATGGTTGTCCGGATGGCTGTCCCGACGGTTGTCCCGGTGGTTGTCCCGATGGTTGTCCCGATGGTTGAATCGATGGTTGTCCCGATGGGTGTCCCGATGGTTCCCCCGATGGCTGTCCCGATGGTTGTCCCGATGGTTGCTCCGATGGTTGTCCCGATGGCTGTCCCGATGGTTGCCCCGATGGTTGTTCCGATGGCTGTTGACGGTTGTCCCAGTGGTTGTCCCGATGGTTGTCCCGATGGTTGACTCGATGGTTGTCCCGATGGGTGTCCCGATGGTTGTCCCGATGGTTGTCCCGATGGCTGTCCCGATAGTGTTGTCCCGATGGTGTCCCGATGGTTGTCCCGGTGGTTGTCCCGATGGTTGTCACGATGGCTGTCCCGATGGTTGTCCCGATGGTTGTCCCGATGGTTGTCCCGACGGTTGTCCCGATGGTTGTCCCGATGGTTCCCCCGATGGTTGTCCCGATGGTTGTCCCGGTGGTTGTCCCGATGGTCGTCCCGATGGTGTTGTCCCGATGGCTGTCCCGATGGTTGCCCCGATGGGTGCCCCGATGGCTGTCCCGATGGTGTTGTCTCGATGGTTGTCCCGATGGTTGTCCCGATGGTTGTCCCGACGGTTGTCCCGATGGTTGTCCTGATGGTTGTCCCGATGGTTGTCCCTACGGTTGTCCCGATGGGTGTCCCGATGGTTGTCCCGATGGTTGTCCCGATAGTTGTCCCGATGGTTGTCCCGATGGTTGTCCCGACGGTTGTCCCGATGGTTGTCCCGATGGTTGTCCCGACGGTTTTCCCGATGGCTGTTCCGACGGTTGTCCTGGTGGTTGTCCCGATGGTTCTCCCGATGATTGAATTGATGGCTGTCCCGATGGTTGTCCCGATGGTTGTCCCGATTGTTGTCCCGATGGTTTTCCAGATGGTTGTCCCGATGGTTGTCCCGATGTTTGTCCCGCTTGTTGCCCCGATGGTTGTCCCGATAGGTGTCCAGACGGTTGTCCCGGTGGTTGTCCCTAATGGCTGTCCCGATGGTTCCCCCGACGGTTGTCCCGATGGTTGTCCCGATGGTTGTCCCGATGGTTGTCCCGATGGTGTTGACCCCATGTTTGGTTGTCTCGATGGTTGTCCCGATGGCTGTCCCGATGGTTGCCCCGATGGTTGTCCCGATGGCTGTCCCGATGGTTGTCCCGATGGTTGTCCCGATGGTTGTCCCGATGGTTGAATCGATGGCTGTCCCGATGGTTCCCCCGATGGTTGTCCCGATGGTTGTCCCGATGGTTGTCCCGATGGTTGTCCCGATGGTTGTCCCGACGGTTGTCCCGATGGTTGTCCCGATGGTTGCCCCGATGGTTGAATCGATGGTTGTCCCGATGGTTGTCCCGACGGTTGTCCCGATGGTTGTCCCGATGGTTGTCCAGATGGTTGTCCCGATGGTTGTCCCGATGGCTGTCCCGATGGTTGTCCCGATGGTTGTCCCGATGGTTGTCCCGATGGCTGTCCCGACGGTTGTCCCGGTGGTTGTCCCGATGGTTGTCCCGAGGGTTGAATCGATGGCTTTCCCGATGGCTGTCTCGACGGTTGTCCCGATGGTTGTCCCGATGATTGTCACGGTGGTTGAATCGATGGCTCTCCCGATGGTGTTGTCCCAATGGTTTTCCCGATGGCTGCCCCGATGGGTGCCCCGATGGTTGTCCCGATGGTTGTCCCGATGGTGTTCTCTCGATGGTTGTCCCGATGGTTGCCCCGATGGGTGCCCCGATGGTTGTCCCGATGGTTGAATCGATGGTTGTCCCGATGGTTGTCCCGTTGGTTGTCCCGATGGTTGTCCCCACGGTTGTCCCGGTGGTTGTCCCGGTGGTTGTCCCGATGGTTGTCCCGATGGTTGTCCCGATGGGTGCTCCGATGGTTGTCCCGATGGTTGTCCCGATGGTTGTCCCGATGGTTGTCCCGATGGTTGTCCCGATGGCTGTCCCGATGGTTGTCCCAATGGCTGTCCCGTCGGTTGTCCCGGTAGTTGTCCCGATGGTTGTCCCGATGGCTGTCCCGACGGTGTTGTCCCGATGGTTGTCCCGATGGTTGTCTCGATGGTTGTCCCGATGGTTGTCCCGATTGGTGTCCCGATGGTTGTCCCGATGGTTGTCCCGACGGTTGTCTCGATGGTTGTCCCGATGGCTGTCCCGATGGTTGTCCCGATTTGTTGTCCCGATGGCTGTCCCGATGGTTGTCCCGATGGTTGTCCCGATTGTTGTCCCGACGGTTGCCCCGATGGTTGTCCCGATGGTTGTCCCGACGGTTGTCCCGATGGTAGTCCCTCCCGATGGGGGAATCGATGGTTTGCCCGATGGTTGTCCCGATGGTTGGCCCGATGGCTGTCCCGATGGTTGTCTCGATGGTTGCCCCGATGGTTGTCCCAATGGCTGTTGACGGTTGTCCCGGTGGTTGTCCGGATGGTCGTCCCGATGGTTGACTCGATGGCTGTCCCGATGGTGTTGTCCCGATGGTTGTCCCGATGGTTGCCCCGATGGATGCCCCGATGGGTGTCCGATGGTTGTCCCGATGGTTGTCCCGATGGTTGTCCCGATGGTTGTCCCGATGGTTGTCCCGATGGTTGTCCCGATGGCTGTCCCGATGGTTGTCCCGATGGTTGTCCCGATGGTTGTCCCGATGGTTGTCCCGATGGT